CCAGTTGCGAGAGGCCTTGCTGAGCCAGTGTGCTGAAGAAATACATAGTAGTGCGGGTTTGTTCGGCTGACCGTGAAAAGAAGAAGCGACCAGCGAGCTGATTCTGTATTTTCCATTCTCGAGCGAGGTGATTTGCCACCGTCGATTTGCCAGACCCCGCGACGTCAGTCAGCCAAAATATTTGGGGGGGGCGTTTCCATTCGTGAACCAGGACCGCGCCTCCTCGAGAATAGCGACTCTTGTTTCCTTCAAACATATATCATGCTCGTCACCATTAGCAAAAGTTGCGGCAGATAATGTATTCAGAAGGATCGTCTCCTCTGAACAGTCTTTAGTGTTTCCCCTAGTGGAGTGACAAGAAAATGAACTCACCGGTCTCGGTCAGTTTTGCTCTCATATCTTTTTGCTCTGCATGCATATCATTCATTGCCTGACACATATCCTTTTGCACTTCATGCGCCTCAAGAATTCTGGCATGACTTTTCGCGTGATCAGTCCTATGGGCAATTACTTCTTCATGGATTAACTCTTGTCCAACTTGAATCTGAGAGACTCCTTGCTGTACCTGTATCTGAAGTTTCATCTACATAGATCACGGGTAGTTGCATTAGCATACTGGTCAAATATCTGGCAGAGTACTGACTGTGAATGTGTTGAACGCTTCGTCCATTTCCCGAATTGACTCTTGGATTTTGTCCTCATCGCTCTTGACTCCGATTATCGACTGATACCAAGTCTTGTGTTTCCTCGCCAGAGGTTCGATCCCGCGCACGACTTGCTCCAACACTCTGGAGGATGATAAGCGATATCGTACTGAGTACAATGACATGAGATACCACTTGCCCTTTGTATTCTGCAACCATCTCCTGGAGCTCGACATTGGCTGGTTTGTTGGCAAGGTAGCCTTGAAGCAGTCCGATTCGGTTCGCGAGATGATTCGACAACGTTTCCCAATCTTCTTCGCATTTCCGTACATCCTTCAGTTTGAGATTTAGTCAAATGTTCCGTGAGATGCGTACTAGTGCTTACTTTGATGACCTCTAGCAAGGTTATCATAATGCCCATTGCGGCCTTGAGCGGAGCTAGGAGTGGAATTGTTTCCCCAGCATCTTTTGCAATTTTAGCAACAGGGAATGCTGGGACGTCAGCATCCATGACACCTCGGGAAAAGAA